GGCCTTTGAAGGCTCTGAGATTGATGAGATCAACTGATTGTTGGACTTATATTGGGACTTTTGATCATAGATAAATATTGGTCCACCACCTGGTTACCTTTAAAGAACAATTTCTTTCTTTTTTCGTTTGTTAACATGATGTCATTAGTGTTAAGTTGAAAGCATTGAAATATGTTGGTTCACGTTTCAGTAATAGAAACATAGATCATTTTAGTCCAAATATAGTGGGATGAAGTTTTTCCTTGGAATTGATTTGGGATTCTGAAACTAGTGAAGCTGGGTGACAACCTTACAAACTACCATAGGTGTTATGACAAGTAGTTTGTTGATATTTTCTTTCGGTGACCTTTTATATTAATACTAGGTTAAATCCCGTGCCATGCACGGTCATAATTAAATTTTACAACAAAATTTATAAAGAATGGTGTTAATTCAATAAATTTATCCAAAAAAAATATTTGTAACAAAATAATAGTCTCTAATTAATAAAAATTCTACTATGTCATTCTTTAAAAAAGGTACCACAATATGTTGACATGGCAAAATCTAATTGGTCCGTAATTAGTATTTTGATTTTTATTTTGAATCATTTTTAATATCCATAATGTAACAAAATTGTATTTATTGTATGTATGCTTTTTAATACATTTATTTTTTAAAAAAATACATATTTATAAATTATAAAAATTTTATAATATTAATAAATTTTCAAAAACAACTTATATGATAATTAAAAATCACAATTATTTAAAAACAAAAAAATCACAAAATTAAAAATTTTCAACACTGTTCATCATTGTTCATCCCAAAATCATTGTATTCCAAATTTCCAATACCCCTTGCACTAAAAACACGCGAAGTATCTAACGAACAACAAGAAATGAAAATGGATGATGAATTTGCTGCCGGAGAAGGAACGACTGCCAAAACTTTTGCCTGAAAACCGCCTGCAAACTGAACCAAAATCCTCCCAAAAAAGTCGCCTGAAACCTTCCCGAAATTGACCAAAACCGGTCCTAAAACCATCGCCAAGCAGTCCAATAATGCAACGCCGAGAAGCCTATGTTGTTGCCTGAAAACTACCGCGTGAAACCCTGTAGATTCGCATGAAAACCGCAGCCCTAAAACTGCACCATGAATAGAGAAAAACGCACCCAAAATACGCTTTCAAACCGCTTGAAAATTCTCCAGAATCTTGAGCTGCTGCCGTGGACCCTTCGCCGAACCTATGTACGCCGGAAAAGCAGCCGGAACCTGCACCTTAATTGCCCAGAATTACACGGGAAATAGATCATTATTAAAAAAAAAAAAAGTTGCCGATGTAGAACAACGAAGAACATATTTGATTTTCTCTTTCAAAAAAAAAGAACATATTTGATTTTCTAAATTTTTAAATATTATATGATTTTTGCTAATGATTTTAAATATAAAAATAGATTAATTATGTATTCTGTAAAAAAAATACTTGTATTTATAATTATACATACATTATAATAATTTTGACCTTTTAAAAGTAAAGGAAAATTTGACAAATCATAACATGCCAGTCAGCATGTTATATTGTCATTTTTTGAAGAATGACACAGTAGATTCATCCTCTAATTAAAGATATTGATGGTCAAAGTTGTGTCTCAACAAATGTGCAAATTCAACCATAACTTATAAAAAACGGAAGAGCATAATATAATAAAATGATTTTGTTCAGTTGTTCTTATAAACGTTATGTATATTTGTAAGATTTATACAAAGTATCCTACCAAAATTATTATTCCTATTTTTAATTAAAATAAATTTCAAGTCGGAGGAAAAAAAATTATAATAATATTATGATAATCTTGGATGATGATATATGTCAATACCTTAATTTTAAACTATGTTAATATATTTGTAACTAAAAGATTTATAGTATATAAAATATATGTTGAAAAATAATAAAAAAAAATTTAAATTGAGTATGATTGGATTAAATGTGTTGTCAAAATAGAAATAAGTATTATGGTAGGTTATAAAATGGATGTCATTAAAATTTGGAAATTTTTTTTTTTTAAAAAAAAGGAAAGATAAAAAGGCGGGAAATTTTTTTATAACATCGTGACAAGTGTCACTTTAGGTTCGCTTTTAGTATAGGTTAATTGATTATTAACTATCCACCCCAAGCCCTTGAATCAATCATTTTGTTGAACTCATTAGGAATTTTCTAAATCCATGGATATCTTGAAATCCTTACTTTTTTCATAATTTTCTTATTTTAATTATGTGAATAATACAAATAAGTTTTTTGAAATGTAGGAACCATTGGGTACTCGATGTGATTGATTTGTGTATGAGTCTTGTGTATGAGTTATTCGAGTTGTGTGGAACTATTTATTATTTTAATAATGTGAATTATTTAAGTTTTAATTGTTTTTTTTTTTTGGAAATTAAAGTATAGTTAATTTTGTTGTATTGTATGGTTGTGGATGAATAACTCGATTTGTGTGGAACTATTTAGAGTGTTTGTATTGTATGTTGTGGGTGAATTTAAGTTCTATGGAAGTATTTGGAGTACGTGTTTTGTTGGTTAAATTGTAACAGGTTATAACCCATTTGACGATGCATGGGTCGTTTGGTAGTATATACTATCATTCTTGTATTCGAATCAAATATTTATAAAAAAAAATAATAATTATTCATTAGTAACTGGCGTAATCTTGTGTTAGTTACTAATAGTATTTTTTTAAAATAAAAAATATATTCGTAACCGGTGTTATGATTTGCCATTTACTAATAATATCTTTATTGTAACCGACGTAACTTAATGCCAGTTACAAATAGTGTGATTCTTAATTGGAACATAGTCTTTTTGTAATTGGTGTTGGGTTAAGCCAGTTATGAATAATACATTATTTGTAACTAACATTAGCCGGTTACGAATAATTTTCATTAGTTGTAACGGTGGCATTCGCAACCAACAATGCCAGTTACAAAAAGTCAATTTCGCCGGCTACAAATAACACTTTTTCTACTAGTGACAATGATAGAGACGAAGCAATTTAGTGGGGCTAAGGGTGAAGATATAATCTTCACATTGTATGTTTCTGCCAGATTGCAACACCATTAGACAAGCCGGGGTCACGCATGACCAAATCAGGGGATTCTTTTTCCCTTTTCATTATGTGAAAAAGCTAAATTATGGTTTAATGGTTTAATAGAACTGCACTTGGTATTACTAATTGGGAAACTCTTGCTTTGAATTTTTATCATAAATATTACCCTGTAGAGAGAACAGCCGTACTAAGGAGTGCTATTCAGAACTTTGCCCAAGAGGTCGATAAAATTCTATATGAGGCTTGGGAGAGGTTCAAAGATCTACGAAGAGAATGCCCCCACCATAATCTGGCACAATGGAAATTAATCCAAGCCTTTCACAATTGACTTGGAAATTCATCTAGATCAGTTCTAGATTCTGCATCTAGTGGGGGATTCATGAATCTTAATGTGGAAGATGCGAGACAGGTTATCGAAGATATGGCAATACACAATTCCCAATACGGGAATCCGAGAGGGTTTGCTAACAAAGGAAAGCATAATGTTGATTCTGTATCCTTTTTGCAAGCTCGGTAACATCTATTTCTCATAAACTAGATAGTCTTACTGTTGCTCCTAACTCTGTAGCTAATGTTTTTTATGTTGCTAACAATGAAGCTTTTTGTGAAAATTGTGGAATTGTAGGGCATTGGGAGCAAGATTGTAGGAGTTCCATAGAGCAAGTTAATGCCTTTTAAACCTATAGGCAAAATAACCCATACTCTAACTCTTATAATCCTGGTCTCCGGAACCATCCATATCTTTCTTACCGGAGTACCAATGTACAAAACCCTCCACCTTCACAAGAAACACAACATCAACCTCCACCACAGCAGAAATATTACCATCCTAATTCTTGCCAGAAAAACCAAGCACAACCCTCCTCATCTTCTAACCCTACTATGACAGAAATTAGAGCAATGCTTACAAACATGAAAAATCATATGGAGAGTAGGAATGCACAAATTGATTCAATTATAGCTCACAATACAATCATGGATAATCAAATTGCGCAGATTTCATCTACTTTACAAACCGTCAGCAGGGAGCTCTACCATCGCAACCAATCCATCGCACAGGTCATGCCAATACAATCACTCTAAGGAGTGGTTAACATTATGATGGACCTCCTATGCCAAAGGAAGATTGACCTGTTCCTGATCCTGATTCCTCTATTCCAAACGCTAATCATGTTAACCTTGAAGGGCTAGAAAAAGATACTAACCTTTCTATTGTTTCTTTGCAGGGTAAATCTCATGATAAAGGAGGAGATGTGCAAAGCCCATTTATCAAACTACCATTCCCCAATAAACAATTAAAGAGTAAGTTTGATAAACAATTCAGTAAGTTTTTAGAGGTTGTGAAAAACTTGCAGGTAACAGTTCCTTTAATTGATTTAATCACTCAGGTTCCCGCCTATGCTAAGTTTATGAAAGATATTTTGACTAGGAAAAGGGCCTTTGATGAGGTGGAAACTGTAGCTTTTACAGAGGAATGTAGTGCTTTATTTGCAGAATAAATCCCCTCCCATGTTAAAGGATCCTGGTAGTTTTTTTTTATCCCTTGTCATATAGGAAATGTCTTCATTGATAAAGCTTTGTGTGATTTGGGTGCCACTGTCATGCCATCATCTTTTTGTGCTAAGCTTAATATGGGTGTTTTAAAAGTTACTAATATAACATTGCAAATGGCAGATCGTTCTGTTAAGTACCTTTTAGGTATTTTAGAGGATGTCCCTGTTAGAGTTGGTAAATTTTTTATCCCTATTGATTTTGTTGTTTTAAACATGGCTTAGGATACACAAATCCCCATTATATTAGGTAGTCCTTTTCTCTATACTGCAGGATCCATTATTGATATCAAAAATGGTAAACTAACCCTTTCTATTGATGATGATAATGTTACTTTTAATTTAGGGAAAGTTTTGAAAGGACCTATGCTAGAGGAAAATTGTTGTTTAATTGTTGTGATTGATATAATGGATGATATTTGTGATGATAGCTTACCACAGCTTCTTGCAAGGGATCCGTTAGAGGAAAATCTTTGTGGAGATTTATCTGCATATAATGCAAGTGTATGGGGTAATAAAGTAAATGCCATTGAAAAAGCTCTTTCCCTAGAAGAGTTAAACCCTAAAAAGACCATGAAGGTAGTAAATTTAGTTCATGAATCAAAACTTGCAGAGGTTAAGAAACCTGAACTAAAATCTCTCCCTTCTCATTTAAAGTATATTTTTCTTGATGAGCAGGAACTATACCCCGTGATCATCAGTACTGCTCTTGATGATCTACAAACTTTCCAACTTCTAGAGGTTCTTCAAACCCATAAAAGAGCAATTGGGTACAATATTGATGATCTTAAGGGTATTAGCCCTGATTTTTGTATGCACAGGATACATTTAGAGGATAACTATAAGCCCTGCATTCAACCCCAAAGAAGGTTGAATCCGAATATGCAAGAAGTAGTCAAGAAAAAGGTTATGAAATTACTTGATGTATGTATTATCTATCGTATTTCTGACTCTAAATGGGTAAGTCCTGTACAGGTAGTTCCTAAAAAGGGTGGGATGCCTGTGATTAAAAACGAGAAAAATGAGTTGATTCCCACTAGAACTGTTACAGGGTGGCGTATGTGCATTGATTATCGTAGATTAAATATCGCCACTAAAAAGGATCACTTCCCCCTTCCCTTTATAGATCAAATGCTTGAAAGGTTAGCTAATCATAAGTTCTTTTGTTATTTGGATGAGTATTCAAAATTTTTCCAAATTCCAATTCACCCTGCAGATCAGGAAAAGACTACATTTACATGTCCTTATGGTACTTTTGCATATCGTAGGATGCCCTTTGGTTTATGTAATGCCCCATCTACCTTTCAATGTTGCATGATGACCATTTTTTTCTGATTTCATAGAGTATATTATGGAAGTCTTTATGGATGATTTTAGTGTGTATGGTTCTTCATTTGATGCATATTTAGTAAATATCGCTAAAATTTTGAAACGATGTGAAGAATGCAATTTGATTCTATATTGGGAGAGATGTCACTTTATGGTGACAGAGGGAGTAGTTCTGGATTATATTGTAACTGATAAAGGTATACAAGTAGACAAAGGTAAGATTTCAGTGATTAAGAAATTACCTCCTCTAGTTAATGTTAAGGGAGTTAGAAGTTTCTTAGGTTATGCGGGGTTTTATCGTCGCTTTATCAAAGATTTTTCTAAAATTGCTAAACCACTAACTCAGCTTTTACTCAAGGATGCCCCTTTTATTTTTACTGACGAGTGTCTTGAGGCTTTTAACAAGATAAAGCAGGCTTTGATATCGGCACCCATCATATATGATTAGAAAAAAAGCATTAGGCAGCGGTTCAAACCCGGTCTAAGGCACCGGTTTGAACCGCTGCTTATTTGAGGGGTGCCAAAAACCTACTATTTGGCACCGGTTCAAAACCGGTGCCATAGGGTTTAATAGGCACCGGTTAACCGGTGCCATAGGGTAGAATAGGCACCTGTTAACCGGTGCCTAATACTGCTCTCCCGCCATATTTTTTTTGGGTGGTGGATAGTTTAGGCACCGGTTCCTGCCTAACCAGTGCCTTTTGTATAATTTTTTTTTTGGTTTTTTTTTTCCATCGTGCAATAATATTTTAAAAAAAAACCTGCAATAATAATAACCTGTAATTCCAGCAATTATATTAAATATAATAATTAATAATTTTTTTATTATAATAACTAATAATAATATTATTAATTATTATATAAAAAAATAATATTAGATACAAGAATTCAATTATATATATACATAGATATAAATATTCCCAAACGCAATACAAAAAAAAAAAAGTTGCTTACATATACAAATAATAGTAAGTACACATATATAATGAATAATAAGTTATATATAGTTCAAAAGTTAACATAAATAATTTACAATTACAATGCATGCCATTTACATGTTGAAGGTGATGAAAGACGCCAACATGTCACGAACTTCATTAAGCTCCTTGATTGTCAACGGACCATCCTTTTGGACCTTGCAAAACTTGAAATACAAAAACATTATTTTTAAAATAATTAATTAGGCAAAAAATATGTATTTTATCAAATATTACCTATACGACTTCTATATAGCCCATTTACTACATTACTTATCAAATGAACTATTTCTTTCTCATAACATGTCAATATTGGATAGTTGTATGTGTGTAAGCCCTAAAATTGTATAGGAGAGCATTTTGTTAAGGTTTATGACGGTTTTTTTACCCAAAATGGCCCGAATATGGCCTATATGACCTTACTTTGCCCATTTCCTACATTTCTTATTAAATGAACTTTATTTATCTCATAACATGTCAATAATGTCTAGTTATAGGTGTATAAGGAAAGAAATCACATCAAAAGAGCATATTAACACAAAGTGGCCCTAATATGGCCCATATGACTTCTATTCAGCCCTTTTTCTACCTTTCTTATGAAAATAGGTTGTTAGAATGAATAAATGTTAGTTCATACACAAAACAAAGGAGTTGGGTTAAGTAGAAGCTATTTATGCCAGTTTCACCTACTTATGGTCCTATAACCTTGTATATGCATGATAATGAGTACACTTAAGCAATTTCAAACTACAAATATATCATTTTTGCCTACTTATGCTCCTATACACATGATAACTAAACTATATTTGCAATGAAACCATTACTAACTTTTAATCAAACTACCTCATTCTGAAATTCCTTCGTTGTGGTCTGATCGCATATAACCTGCTTTGTTGTCTATGTCATTTAGTACTCTAGGTCTAGGAACAGTGAAAGGTGCTGAATAATCAAACGCATCATATTCTTCCTCATCCTCAACATCTCCAATGCCTAGGATTCTTCTTTTTCCAGCTAGCACTATAGACCATTTTGAATCCATTGGGTCAGTTACGTAGAACACTTGCTTAGCTTAAGATGCAAGGATAAATGGTTCCGCACTATCATTAAAGTGGCCAAGATCTACAAGAGTAAAGTCCTCATGTTTGACGTTACGCCTGATATTATCAACCCACTTACACTTGAAAAGAGCAACCGTGAAGTCACAATAATCAAGCTCCCATATTTCTTGAATTCAACCATAGTATGACAACTCTGCATCGACAGGTGATTTATCCTTAGAACTTGCAAACTCCCTTGATGATGCCACAAGAGTTACACCACTGTTTTGGGTGGAGGAAGATTTCAAATCACGAGCCTCGGTCCAAAAAGTGTACCCATTGATGTCATATCCCTCAAATGAACGGACATCATCCCTAGGACCGTACGCAAGCCACCGTACTGTATCGGTCACATTAGTATCATTCAATCCACTCATTACTCGTTCACGAAACCAATCAACAAATTTCTTATTATGCAACTGCATAAGTGCCCTTTCACTTTTGGATGGAAATTCGGCACGCAAACAAGCCATGTGCTCGTCTAAATATGGGTGCACATGTGAAACATGGTGCAACACATAAAGGTGTGCTTGTAAGAACTGATCTCGGTCTGGTGACATTCGTTTCGACCCAATTGTGCCATGACCATCAAGTCTACCTTCATGTCGAGAAGTAGAAAGAACAATAGGTTGAGCAAGGGCTATGTAGTCCGCCACAAAGTTACCTATCTCCTCACCCACTGTCCCTTGCATTATACTTCCTTCAGGGTGAGCTCGGTTCCGTACTTTATCTTGTAATGTACCCATGTGTCTTTCAAAAGGGTAGCACCACCTCATGAACACTGGACCGCACAACTTAATCTCACGCACCAAATGAAGAACCAGATGAACCATTATGTCAAAAAATGAAGGTGGGAAATACATCTCAAATTTGCACAAAGTCACAACCACATCAGCTTGCAAAGCATCTAGTGTACAAGGATAAAGAACTTTGCTACAAATTGTATTGAAAAACGAACAAAGGCTTGTAATCGCTTCCCTCACGTGTTTCGGTAGAATACCACGGATTGCAATCGGTAGGAATACTTGCATCATAATGTGACAATCATGGGATTTCATACTTGTCAGCTTCAATTCTCCATTTAAGGTTACAAATCTTTTCATGTTAGATGAGTACCCTGATGGAACCTTAATGCCGTACAAACATGCACAAAACATACGTTTCTCTACCCTTGACAATGTATAGCAAGCCGGGGGTAAATAATTCTTTTCATCCTTCCCTTTACCCTTAACTTTCTTCTTTGACGCATCTTTGGCCTTTCCCTTTCCCTTGCTCTTCTCATTCCCTTTTTTCGAAACACTTTCATCTTCTATTCTCGGCTCCTTTCCCTTTCTGACCTTTTCTTGAGGCCACAATTCTGGACGAATCCCCATCTCTTGCAAATCTAACCGTGCACCCTTTCCGTCCTTTGTTTTGCCTGGGATATTCATAAGCGTCCCCAAAAGAGTATCACACACATTCTTCTCTATATGCATCACATCAAGACAATGCCTAATGTCATGTTCTCTCCAGTACGGCAGCTTCCAAAAGATTGATTCTTTCTTAAACAGAGCAGCTGAGTCCACAGTTTTTTCTGATTTTCCAAACACCATTTGTATCCCTTTCACCCGAGCACTAATCTCAGCACCAGTCAATGGTCTAGGCGCAGTATCCTCTTCTACGGTTCCATCGAAAGCCTTTTTCTGCCTACGGTACGGGTGATCACGCCTAAGGAACCTTCGAGTCCGTAGGTACACATCTTTGTGAGAATGAGTCAGGTATACGCTTGATGTGTCATCAATACATATGGGGCATGTTTTTTTTCCCTTTGACCTTGTACCCATACAAGTTGCCATATGCAGGGAAGTCATTCATGGTCCACATAAGGGCTGCACGCAATGTGAACATCTCGTTCTGATGAGCATCGAAAACGGAAACCCCTTCGACCCACATCTTTCTCAAGTCGTCAATAAGCGGCGCAAGGTAAACATCTATGTCGTTTCTAGGTTGCTTAGGACCAGTTATTAGCAATGAAAGCATTTTATACTTACGTTTCATGCACAGCCAAGGAGACAAATTATAAATCACTAAAAGTACCGGCCATGTGCTGTGTTGGGTACTAAGAGTGCCAAATGGATTCATCCCGTCCGTGCACAACCCAAGCCTTAAATTTCTGACTTTATTACCAAATTCCTCAAACTTCAAATCAATGTTCTTCCACTATGGAGAGTCAGCTGGATGCTTCAGCATTCTGTTTTTCTTTCTTCCCTCTACATGCCACCTCAAGTTTTTAGCGTCTTTTGGTATTGAGAACAGACGCTTAAACCTTGGAATAATGGGAAGATACCACAACACCTTAGCAGGAGGTCCCTCCGTGCCAGGATTGCAACTCATGCGCTTGTACCGCGACCGCTTGCATCGTGGACACTCCTGCAGTTTTTCATACTCATTTCGATACAAAATACAGTCATTAGGACATGCATGTATCTTCTTATACTCCAAACCAAAGGGACATGAGATTCTTTGCGTAATAATAAGACTTAGGAATTTCATTCCCATCAGGCAACATATCACTTAATGCGGTCAACAAAGAAGTAAAACTGATGTCCGTCCACCCATGCTTCGACTTAATGTTGAAAAGTGTTAGCACGACCGATAGTTTGGAGTATTTTTTGCACCCGGGATACAAAGGCTTTTTGGAAGCCTCCGATAATAATTCAAACACTTCACCTTCAACACCTTGCAACATCTCATCCACTTGTTCATCCTCGACCTCATCCGCCTGATCTTCATCGGCTCCATCCTCACCATTATCAACAATGTACTCATCATTCTCGTATTCCTTGTCCACATGAATCTCAGTGCTTCTAACACGCACATCATTCCGATCAAGTTCCCCACTGTACTCTCCACTTTCTCCGTGCCAAATCCACACATGGTAAAATTGCCTAAACCCACGACATAATACATGTCTAATGAT